GGACCAGGCAGTGTTTTATTCTCTTGTGCGTAGCGTTGCTATGAGTCAGAACCGACTGGATGGCACCTGACAACAGCTACCAGGTGATTCTGATGAATGCTAAAGTTTGCGATTTCCTTTAGTCTGTTTTCTCATTATCTTTGATACATTTTCTATTCCAGCTAAGTCAGTGTGTATGCTAGTGGTTCCCAAGACTTTCTGCACATTGAAATCACCAGGACATTTTTAAAAACTCTGGACCTGGCACCCATTCCCAGACATCCTGATTTTGTTGGTATGAGTTGTGACCTGGCTGTAGGTGATTTGAATGTGTAGCAGGTTTGGGAGTCTCTGTGTTGTTTCTTTGCCTTTCATTCTGCCAAGGGAAGTTCTTGCTCATCACCTTTTTGCTACTCTTTGCTCTTTTTCTTATTGAAATCTATTAAAGATATACCCATTCTAGGAATATTTTTTTTAAAAACTTTTTATTGTGAATTGAGTGAAGGTTTAAGACAAGGTAACCAGTTTTACATTCAACAAATCACACTGTGTTTCATCTCAAAATGACTCCAGTCTCTTACTGACCAGTAAGCCCATTTTTTAAAATAATTTTTTGTTTGTGTCTGTAAAGGTTTTTATTTGGGGAGGCACAGTGGACAGGAACCTGCTCAGTCTTTTTTGGCAGCCTCTTTCCTCTTGGCGGCCAGGACATTGCTGAACTCCTCTGGCTTCCTCTTGGTACAGATGTGTATCCCCACCCTTTCCTTGATGAATTGGAGTGCCTGCTTGTCCTTGGAGACCTTGAGCAGCTCCATAGTCCTGCACTCATAATGCACAAAGCCACACACCTGTTCCGTTATTGCATTTGGACTAGTTGATTCCAAGCATCTTCAGTTCTTACTGCTCTTCTTTCTTCTGCACATGGAGAGACCAAAAGCTGCACCTTAGATGGTCACTCATGAGCTTTTAAGATCCCAGACGTTACTTTCCAAAGTAGGCTTTAGAACATTGTCTTTGTGGATTATGTTGTGCCAGTTGACCAGGTATCCCCTGAGACTATGGTCCTGAGCCTCCAGGCTCAGCTACTCATTGCCTGAAGATGTTTGATAATGTCTGAGGAGTTTTTATCATTTTCCCTCTGTATGCTCCACCACATTCACAATGGTGTTCGCAGGAAAGGAAAATACTCATGTACCAGTATCGTCCGGCAGTGGTTATGTGCCGTGGAGTTGGTTCCGACTCATAGCTTCCCTTCATAGGATTTCTGAGGCTGTAAATGTTTACGGGAGCAGAAAGCCTCATCTTTATCCTGTGGAATATATACATATACAAATACATATGCGTATGTGTGCAGACATACACATGGCAGTCCATGCTGCTTTTAATATTCTCCTCCAACACTATAACTCAAATGCATCAATTCTTCTACAGTCTTCCTATTCACTGTCCAACTTTCACATGTATGTGAGGTTATTGAAAATACTATGGCATGAGTCAGGCACACCTTAGTCCTTAAACTGACATCTTTGCTCTGGAACATTTTAAAGAGATTTTGTGCACATTGTCTACCTAAAATGGGGGGCGGGGTGCCTATAAAGGCACAAAGTGACTGGCTTACAAGTTTTCAAGAGGGAGTTTAGTTTAAGAGTGTGCAGGGGTGGGGTTAGAATCCCCACTGAATAGTTTTCATCTTGTCTAGATGGGTCAGGTGAAAAGAGATGGGGATAAGATTCTTATGATTCAATAGTAATTGTTATCATGACTATTTGTGACTGTCACAACTGTAAAGGTAGAAATTTTATAATGAAAAGGGGGGAGTAGTTAATCTTACAGTCCAGGAACAGAGGATCCTAGGACCATCAAGGGAGAAGAGCATGAGCAGAATGTGGGACCCTATCCAGGAAAGCAGCGATACCAGAGATGGAGGCAGAGATGAGGACTCTAGATTCATGGCAGAGATGGAGAGATAGAACAGCTGAGGACTCTAGACTCATGGAAAGATAAAGGCTATGTGCTGGTGGCCAGGAGGCAGGCTTGTAGAATGTGCCCTTTGGTGGTTTAAATAATTATATATTCCTGAGTGTTCTTGTGTACTCCGCCCCCCCAAAAAAAAACCACAGAGGAAATAGAAGCAAACACTGTTAAATGATGATGTACCGAGATTTTAATCATTGTAATGAAACAATAAGTGTAAAACCAATGTCCTCCCATGTAAACTATCACTCAATTTCCAGTAAAAACTTAAAAAAAAAAAGAGGTCTTGTGCAGCAGATTTGCCTAAGATTGTATATATGTCACTATTACCTCTATCCCCTTTAGCCCTTGCATACCTCCTATGTCTTCACCTGTCTTCATCATTCATCTGCCAACCTTCCTCTTCTTGTATGGTGGCCTTCCCCTTCAGGTATATTGCCTTCACCATCACCCAAGGTAACATGTGTCTACGCTCTAGCCAGTGAACTACTCTCCCCTTACTCCCGCCCCTGTTAACCATCAAAGAATGTTTCGTCTTCTTTTCCAAACTCTTATATATTTGTGGGATATATAAATATATATACCCCACTTTTCCTCCCTTACCCATTCAGCCTATGTCTCAATCCATGTATCTACGCACAGAACACTGTTGTTCCAGAGTTGTGTATATATCACTCTTTACATCTATCCCCTTTAGTCCATGCATACCTCTCTGTGTCTTCACCTATCTTCATTATTTTTATGCCACCCTCCCTCTTTTTATCTTTGGTCCTCTCCTTTTTATATTACCGTCCTTGTTATCTGAACCAACGTGTGTCTTCCCTCTAACCAGTGAATTACTCCACCCTCCTCCCACCTCTGGTAACCATCAAAGAATATTTCTTTTGTATTAGAAACCTTTTCTTAAACTTTTACAGTAGTTATCTCATACAGTGTTTGTCCTTTTGTGATTGACTAATTTCATTCAACATAATTCCCTCCAGAAACATCCAAGTTATGAGACATTTTGTAAATTCATCCTTATACTTCATTGTTGCATAGTATTCCTTTTTGTGGAATACTTTGATTATCCTCACCTTACTCCACCAGATCACTCCTTTGGGATGTTTATGTCACCTGCTTCATAGATCAAGTCTCATTCATTAGTGAGTGTTCATATTCTCAATTGATACCTTTCAGAAGGCATTAAGCTATTCTGTTTTTTCTTTTTTAATTCTCCCCTACAGCTCATCATTCATGAGTCTTAACAGGTATTGTGACAAAGGTATTACTCTTGTAGAATACTCAGATGTTTCCTTAGGTACTTTTCTTATGTATTAATATTTTTTATTTTTGCTTCATTTTAGCTGCAACAGATCAACTTCATGAGCCTAATGCAGATTGTGGGATCATCTTTTGCTAACCTCCCAAATATACATCAACTTGTACAGCAGTCTCAGTCTGTGCACTTGATGGGAAGCCAAGTATCAAACCCCATTAGGGGGAGTGGTGATGTTGAAGACACTAGTGGAAATCTGAAGGACAAAGTTTTCATTAAACCACAGTCCATGGGAGAATGCACCAGAGAGTCTGGCAAGAACAGTGCACATTGCCAGAAAGGAATCAACCGATCTGATCCAAACAGAAATGGACAGGTACAGGTATTGCATATGAAAAATATCATTCAAGTTCTGCTAGTTAAGCTTGTTTGGGTTTTTGATATTTGATATTCATTTTTTAGCAGTTACTAACTTTTAACCCCCTCCCAAATAACACACTGAACATCATTTATAAAATAAGAAATTTGTAATATACAGATTCTTTTTTAAAATGTTTTTGTGTGAATTATGTGATAGTTTACATGGGAGAACATTAGCGTTACATTCATTCTATCGTATATCGTTTCATTACCATGGTTACAATCCCCTCCATGTATCATCAACCAACCAAAGGGTATACCCGGCAAGCCTGCCCCCCGGTCTTCAGCACACAGCCCCTCTCCCTGTGTCTAAAGTCCCCAGTTGCTCCATCTCTCCATGTCATCGTCTCTGCCTCCATCTTTGGCATCACTGCTTCTCTGGGTAGGGTTCCGCTCTCTGCTCTTCTCCCTTGATGGACTATAATATACAGATTCTAAACTTAGATGGCATCTTTTCTTTCTTTTCCAGAATGTTCTACATGAGAGTATTCCTTTATACAATTTAGAAGACCAACCTCAGAATAGAAGACTGTCTCCAACATCTCAGAGTTTACCACCCACTTCATTATCTCCAGCTCCTGATGCAAATACTCACTTCCACCTTTTGTCCACTTCTGCCATTCAGAAAACACCTAAACTTATCCCAACAGCAAAACCTTTCAGTCCTGGTGATGGTTTTCCCTTGCTTCAGTTTCAACCGAAGTATGAATTTAAGCCACTGTTCTTACCTACTGGAAGAGTTCCACAAGTTCCCTCTAGACCTCTGTCACAACCAAGAGAGGCTTGGGGAATATCTGATTCCTGCCAGCCACCTTTGCCACAGAGAGGAGTACATACTACTTCAATTTCCCATTTGAATTTGAGCCAGTATGATACTGAAACTTCAAAAAAAGCAGTTGAACAGAAGAAATGGGCAGAAACTGTAATTACGCATCTGAACTTGAATCAGTATGTTGGACAGGAAAACTATACACCTCAACAGGACTCTTCACTATTTATAAAACCAGGAGAACTATTTGAAGTTAAGCCAGGGCCCCATGAGATATCTCCTCAGAATTCCTTTGGGATTCCATTACTGCACCTGCAGTTTAAACCTTATATGTTTCCACCTGCCTCAAGAGCATCAGTTACGGTTTCACCAATGCCTGTCAGAACAGTAGCAGAAGAAAGAAAATACTCAAGACTATCACTACTTCATTCCTGCTTATCCCCAGAAATTATGGTAATGAATTTTGTGGGGTGATGCAAAAAATCAGGGTCCTGCATTTTTCATACCATAAATACTGTGAAGCCACTGAAAACCCTTTGTATATTTCCTTTTAAAAATAATGCCTTCAATATGGGAAATAACATATAAAAATCCATTTTAAATGGTGATTGGATATTTTAGAGATTTTAGGTGTTTGTTATATATCAATACCAGAATTTACTGACCTCTTTTTATAGGTCCTCTGCTTAAAGAATAAGTTACAAGTAAAATAAAACTGGGCACCCTTGGGTGATGCACACAGTTAGGTGCTTGGCTACTAATCGAAAGGATGGCAGTTCAGCTCCACTCAGAAGTGTTGGAAGAAAGGTCTGGTTCATTCCTTCCAAATGATCAGCGATTAAAAACGCTGGTGGAGCACAGTTGTACTCCGACATACATAAGATCACCATTAGTTGGAATCGACTCACTGGGAAATGCTTTGGTGTTGTCGTGTGCCATTGAGTCAGTTCCAACTCATAGCAATCCTGTATAGAATTTCCGAGGAGCAGCTGGTGAGTTTGAACCGCCAACCTTGAAGTTCAAATAGACCTTGCAATCCAGCACAATAACCCACAGCACTACACCAGGGAAATGCTGTGGTGAAAATAAAATTACCAAGTGTTTTTCTTATTGTGGGTGTCTGTACGTCTGTGTACTGTCACATACACTCACACAAATGAGGGAACTTCAAAATTCATCAAAAAATGGAATGAAAAGATCATTTTTTCCGTGAACTTTTGGAAGCTCCGTCATAGATCTATAGAGTGAGAACGTGAGGTTTGTAGCAATTGTGATGTGATTATCTTCATATCTATTACAAGCTGTTAATTGTTCAGTAGACCCAATTTTACCAGTAGTCTTTGTTGATGTTGTTGTTAAGTGCCGTTGAGTCAGTTCTGACTCATAGTGACCCTGTATAGGGTTTCCAAGGAGAAGGTGGTGAGCTTGAACCAGCGACCTTGTGGTTCAAAGCGACTTTGCAGTCTAGCACATTAGCCCACAGCGCTATCTAGCAGGTAATAAAATTGTAGCTTTCTGAAGTACTAAAAGAAAAAACTGAATTTTTATAAACCAACCACATCCTCTTTCAAGGTATAACTGATTTGAAATGATATTTACATTTGTTAAATTCTGATTTTGTAGGGACATAATTAAATAATTTATTTCTGCTGCACATTTCTTACTGGAAACAAGTACTGGAATGTGGAGAGTGGCCATTCCTTAGAAAAGATATTTACCATGTTTTCTTCTGTGCATATTATGAATGGAAGGAGAAAGGACAAAGACGTGGAAAAGTAGACATTTCGAGAAGGATTTAAAAAATCATGAGAATTGCACAATGAACCCACAAGTGACTTCACTTAGCTTCATCAGTAACCTACATATTGCTGATCTGTTTGATCTCTAGTTCTCATCCATCTGCATCCTTCCACTAACAAATCATTCTAAATAAAATACTGTACATTGTTTCATTTGTAATGATAGGAAGGGGAAGATTTTTTGTTACCAGAAAGAAATTAATACTAGGACTTGAGGCTAAAGTTCTGAAATGGGTTGAGCCAGCTGAAGCGTTCAGCACTTTCAAGTCACTGGTTAAGATCTAGATGCTCCTATTACCAATGTAAATCAATTATTCTGTCTCTTGCACATGTTAGTTTAAAGAAAAGTTTTTCTTAGTTTTTTGTTAACATTATGTAATTCAGGTTTGTCGTTTTGAATTATGCTTTGTTTCTTTCTTGTAGTATAAAAAACCACAGCTTATCCCGCTTGAAAACCTCGCTGCTTTTAAAAAAAGCCAACAGACATTAACACGTAACTTATTTGAACAAGGCGATCCTGGACAAATTCAGCTTCTAAATCTCAAAATAGAATCATCTGAAATAAGACAAGAAAAGGACAGTAAAAAAAGGCAAGTTTTAAGTAAAAGTTTATTTGAGAATATCACATACCAACCAGTCAGTTCATGATTACAGGCAGCCCTCAGGTGATGAATGAGATCCAGTCCTAAGTGTTTAAGAATTTGTAGGCCAGTGGGACAGCTGGGATAGTGTGAGAAAAGGCTCAAAGGCTTTTCAGTAATTCAGAGGCTGCAGGTGTAGCCAGTGAAGGTGCTTGTGATGAAGAATTTGTTGCAAGTATGGGTTGTTTCATTCATTTCAAAGAGGGCTAATTTTTATAACATTAAAGGGCAAGTAGGAGTTGTCCTTAAATATGCAGTCATATAATCATAAAGATGGAAATCATCCAGTTCAACCTTTCAGCTTATTTACAACTGTATAATCAAGTTCATTGTCAAGTCATGCATTTGAACACATCATGCAAATACTAGTGTTAGACTGCTAACCGAAAGATCAGTTTCAAGTCCACAAGCTGCTCTGTAGAAGGAAAAGCAGTCTTGAAATGCTATGGGAGCAATTCTACTCTGACCTATAAGGTCGCTATGAGTTGGAATAGACTAAACTGCAGTGGGTTTTGTTTTTGTTTTATTTAATTAATTTATTTATTTTTGCTTCCTACCATTTGTAAAAGGAGCTCTGGTAGCATAGTGGTTACAAATCAGGCTGTGAACCTAAGGTCAACAGTTTGAAACTACTACCAGCTGTTCCGCAGGAGAAAGATGAGGCTTTCTGCGCCCGTGAAGATTTACAGCTTCGGAAACTCTGTACAGGGTCGCTATGAGTTGGAACTGACTCCATAGCACATAACCACCACCACCACCACCATTTGTAAGCTGGAAAATTCTTTTCTGCTTTTTTGTTACAGGATGATCACCCATCTTTTACAGCACAAATATTTGGTATCTCAAGCAGTGTTCCATGTGTTATCCAGTTCATTGAAATAATAATTTTCATGTTACCATATTCTTCAAACTCATAACAAGCTAGAGGCTAGGGAATAGATATTGTTTCAGGACACTAAGGAATTTTCCATCACCGTCAGCTCGTCATACTGTGGTGGCTTATGTGTTGCTGTGTGGCTGAAATGTATGCCACCAGTATTTTAAATGCCAGCAGGGTCACCCATGATGGGCAGGTTCCAGCAGAGCTTCCACACTAAGACAGACTAGGAAGAAAGAGAGATGGACCACTTGTGACTGGTTAGCCACTGACAACCCCATGAATAGCAGTGGGACATTATCTGATATAGTGTCGGAAGATTGGGAGGCACTTAAAATACTAGGGAAGAGCTAGAAGAAACAGCTGCAGACATCCGTTAATAATTAAAATGCGGAATGCACAAAGTATGAATATAAGAAAACTTGAACTCGTAAAAAATAAAATGGAATAATAAATATCGATATCCTAGGCATTAATGAGCTGAAATAGACTGGTATTGTTTATTTTGAATCAGAAGTCATATGGTTTACTATGTCAGGAATGATAAACTGGAATGGCATCGAATTCAATGCCCAAAAGAGCATTTTAAGGTCTACCTTGAAGTAGTGCTTCCCTGTGATAGGATAATATCCATATGCATACAATGAAGACCAGTTTATATGACCATTCATTCAAATTTATGCAGCCACTAAAGGCAAAGATGAAATTGAATTCAACCAACTTCTTCAGTCTTTTATCAAATAAGCAGTCAAGATGCACTGATAAGTACTGGTGATTGGAATGCAAAAGAAGAAAATTCAATAGTTGGAAAATGTGGCCTTGGGGAGGGAAACAAAACTGGAGACTGAATGGTAGACTATTTCAAAATCAATGACTTATTCATTGCAAACACCCTTTTTCAGCAACAAAAACAGCAACTGTACACGTGGGCCTAATCTGAGAGAATACACAGGAATTAAATTGACTGCATCTGTGGGAAGAGATGATCGAGAAGTTCAATATCATTAGCCAAAACCAGGCCAGTAGCTGACTGAGGAACATACCATCAACTGCTCATACACAGGTTCAGGCTGAAGGTGAAGAAAATTAAAACAACTCCACGAGAGACAAACTACGACCTTGAGCTAAAACATGGCACCAGAATTTACAAACATCTCAAGAACAGATGTGATGCATTGAACATTAATGACTGAAGATCAGAAGAGTTGTCAAATGACATCAAGAACATCATACAGGAAGAAAGCAAAAGGTCATTAAAGATAGGAAAGAAAGAAAAGACAAAAATGGGTGTCAGAAGATTTTCTGAAACTTGCTCTTTCCACGTAGTGAATTAATGTCTCTTCTAGCCATAGTATGTAAATGCCCACCAAACAACTGTTGCCTAAGATTTGAGAAGGAAGTTGGGGGAACATTCTGATGGAGTATATGACTCACTTGTGCTTGTTAACAGAACTGTGATTTTAAACACTTGGAAATCTAATGAGGGGATTGGTAAAGGTTGGCATCGGCTTGGTTTAAAATGGGCCATCTCAGAAGCAGATGGGTGGGCATGGGGTATCACTACCATCAAAGAAGAAAGAGCCACGAGTGGAGTGTGTCCTTTGGACCATGAGATCCCTGTGTATTGAACCTCCTTGACCCTGTGACAGGGAGCTGTGACACTGGAGGAGTGGCAGAGCGATAGCAGCAACAGAAAGAACCAGGAGCCAGAGAACAAAACAGAGTGGTGAACTTCCAGCCTTGGAGCAAGTAAAGCTGAGTGATTTTAGGCAGGAGGTTTGCTTGCAAAGTTGGCTGCCTTCAGGCACTTAGGGAAGCTAGGTACTGACCCCTAGAGCTAGAGCTGCATGCTGAGGCTTATGGAGAAATGGTGTGTTTTGTGGGCATTTACCAGCAGCCCTAAACGAGCTTTGTAATACTGCCCAAGCAGAGAGAGGCCTGCCTGTGAGCAGGGCCAAGGGGGGACTGTGTCCTGAACATTTTCTGATCCTGCATTGTAACCTGTTAACTTCCCTAATAAACCCCACAACTGTGAGTACGGTGTCCGAGTCTATGTGGCCATTGCAATCAATTATTGACCCAAGCTGCTTAGAGAGCAATATAAGAAGAATTAAACCATTCCTATTTTTCCATTCTTGAATATAGAGAAGCTTAAGTGATTGGAAGAAGTGAAGTAAAAGAGCTGAGGAGATAATTTGAAGGGCAGCTTGAGACGACAAAGTAAGATATTATGGTGAAATGTGCAAATACCAGGATTTAAAAAACCAAAAGGTAAAAACAGGCATAGCATTTCTAAAGCTGAAAGAACTGAAGGAAAGTTTCAAACCTCAGGTTGTAATACTGGAGGATCCTATTGGCCAGTGGCAGCATCGATGGACTCAAGCGTGGCAACAATAGTGAGGTTGGCCCAGGACTGGGCAGTGTTTTGTTCTGTGCATAATAAGGTCGCTATGGATCGGTACTGACTTGATGGCACCTAACAGCAACAACATATGTAAAACATTGAATGACACAGGAAGTTTTCATCAAAAGGAATATAGAGAGTCACTGTCCAAAAAGAATTTGTTAATGTTTAACCATTTCTAGAGGTAGCAGCATATGATCAAGAACTGATGATACTGAAGGAAGAAGTCCAAGCTGCACTGAAGGCCTTGGTGAAAAAACGGAAATCTTTCAACAAACTGATTGCAGCCCTGGAGGCACTCACTCATCTATACCAAGAAATGTGGAGCTGGCCAGCTGTTACCTGGCAAATTGATTGGAATAGATCCATATTTATGTCCATTCCAAAGAAGGCGACCTAAGGAAATGCAGAAACAATTGAACAATATCATAATTATCACATGTAAGTAAAATGTTACTGAAGATAATCTAAAAATGGTTGTAGCAGCAATGACTGATATACTGTAATAGACTGTATATTAAGAAATTCTGTTTATAATTACGAGGGGGGCTTCAAAAAGTTCATGGAAAATGGAATTAAAATATAATGTGAACTGCTCTGAAAGGGAATTAGTCCATTGAGCTAAAGTCTCTACAACCCTGAGACCAGAAGAGCTAGATGATGCTTTGCTACACTACCAACTGCTTTGAAAGGAATCAGCTTAGAAGGTCCTGGATAGAGGGAGAAAATGTGAAGCAAAACTCAAAATTCTAAAGAAGACTGGGCTTTCTGGTCAGAAAGAGACTGCAGGTGGCCCTCAGCTGCCTTTCTGCTCTGGAACTAAACTTGCCCTCATGACCCAATTTCCAGCAAAGTAGAGCAGCACTAGAGAGGTATGCTCACCATGGAATGCTTAACCATTCAAGATCAAAAGGGCAACATTTACCTAAGGATAAAGTTCAGGATGGTTGGGAAGGACAGTGGAATGGAAATAATTACAGGGAGGAAGTGGTTTAACTGCTGTTGCATGGAGGGGATTGCAATCATTGAGGTGAAGCTAAGTGTATGGCTTGATGAATGTAAACCAATGATCTGCTCTGTAAACCTTCACTCAAGTCACAATTTGTTGTTTGTTGTTAAGTGCCGTGGAGTAGATTCTGACTCATAGCGACCCTGTACAGGGTTTCCAATCTTTACGGGAGCAGAAAGCCTCATCTTTCTCCCACGGAACAGCAGGTAGTTTCAAACTGCTGACCTGTGGTTCACAGACCGACTCATAACCACTACACTACCAGAGTTCCTTTAGTTTCTTAAAAAAAAAAAAAAAAAAGCAAAAAACTGATGTCATTTTTCATGAATGTTTTGAAGCCTCCTCCTATTAACCTTATTTTGATAACAGCCTTCCCAAACCAAAAACCAAATGCACTGCCATCAGGTTGGTTCCAACTCATTGCAGTCTTACAGGACATAGTGGAACAGCTCCTCTGGGTTTCTGAGACTAAATCTTTATGGGAGCTGTTTGCCTCATTTTTCTTCCTTGGAGTGGCTGGTGCGTTTGAATTACCAACCTTAAGAGTTAGCAACCTGATGCTTAACCCACTACACCACCAGGGCTTTTAGAATGATACAAATGAAAAACTGATATTTGTAATAGTAAAAGTTATTTTATATTATTACTTTTAACAGGCAAAGAAGGCGAGCTGAGAAAGAGCTACAAGAAAACAGTTCAGAGAAGCTGAGGAAAAAGTCAAGTGTGACTTTCCAACCTAAGGATTCTACCATTAATGATAAAGATTCAGAGATGGTTATGAAGCTCAAGGTATGGTAGACCTGTCAGAGGTCCATCCCTGATTGAATATGTCTTTGGGTTTGTCTAGTCGTCTGATTGCTAGAAGCTTCTGGTTATAAGGAGAAGAATCTTGTATGTCACTAAATATATAGATCCCACTGCTTTTCTCCATGGAGTGGTGGTGGTGCTATGCAGTGGAGTTGGTTCTGATTCATTAGCATAGGGTTTCCCAGGCTGTAAATCTTTTCTCCAAGCTAAGTACCTGGTAGTTTTGAATTGCTGACCTTGAGGTAGCAGCCTTAACAGTACCCTACCAGAGCTCCTCCTCCATGGAGTGGTGGGTATTTAATTGCCAATGTGAACAGCAGATTGATGACAAATTAACAACTGCACTTCAGATCACCTGCCTTTTTGACTTTTTTGTATTTGAAATCACTCTGGTTTTTTTCTGTCGATACTACCATTTTATGCATATGGTTCACTGTTTGAGCTTATCATAAGTTTACCTATCTCTTTGAGGTAACTCTAGGACTTCCCAAGGTGAGTTTTGTTGTTAGATGACCTATATTTTAATTAAGGTCTTTTTAAACATTCTTTCTGAATTTAGTGACTGTCTATTTAGCTTTTTTTTTTCTTTCTTTTTATTGTGAATTGAGTAAAGGTTAACAGACAAGATCATAAGCTTTACATTCAACAAATTATATGCTTTAGCTATTTTTATAGCAACAAAGTTTTGGTTTATATGGATTTTAAAAGGCACAGTTTTTTAGTAATTCCTTAAGAGTCTATCTATAGGCAGTTAGCAAAAATGTCTATTAAGTCACTGAAAGACATTGATAGGGTAAGAGTCCTATGTGAGTATCAACACTATTCTGCAAGGGAGAATTAGACCTAGTAACTGTGCATTAAATTGGTAATGCTCTTTATTGTTTGACTTGTGAATTTAGTGAATACTTTTGTGGAGTTACTTTGATAGAATAAATAATGGAAGTTTATTTTTATTTAGAACTATAGTAACTGAACTTTTGCTTAAGAAGTAAAATATCTTTGTTGTTGTTGCTGTTGTTGTTGTTATGTGCCGTTGAGTCAGGTCCGACCCATAGCGAC